AAGGGTGAGGTTGTGACCTTCATGGAAGCAGACTGCTGCCTCTTTCCCTATGAGGTCACTGGTGGGTTTGAAGCTTCAATCTTTCAGCTAGCATGAAACTGTTTAAACAAATAAACGTTAGTCTCTCCATATTTACCTATTTGTGTCATATCATAAAAGTGAGAATATGCAATATTTGTCTCTTTGTGATGAACTTATGTTCCTCAATCTAATGCCCTCCAGGTTCATCCATATCATAAAATAGTTCAGGGCCTCATTTTTACTTTATTGCTGAATAGCATTTCACTGCATGTAGTACCATTGATCCAGGTTTGGGCAATTTTGAGTGGTGTGGCAATGTATATATCTATTCATCTATGTGAGTGGGATTACTGAATCGTACCTAATTTTTGAGGAACTACCAGACTATTTTCGATAGCAGCTATACCATTGTTCATTGACACTCATAATGAAAGAGAGCTCCAATTCTCCCTTATCACCTTTACATCTTGTTTCCCCGCCCACTTCCCCTTAACCTCCTGTCCCATTGGGAGTGAAATGGTATCTCATTGAGGCTTGATTTCCATTTCTCTGTTACACAATGATTTGAGCATCTTCCCATGTGTTTGTTGACTGTTTGAATATCCTCTTCGGTCAAGTATCTTTTGCTCAGATTTTTATTGCGTTGCCTTTTAGTTGTTAAATTTTAGAAGTTCTCCATATATACTAGTTATTAGGCCTTTATCAGTTTTAGCATTCCTGAAGATGTGTTTCCACTCTGTAGGTTGTCTCTTGTACACTTTTGATTAAGTCTTTTAACTTTTATGAGGGTCTAGTAACCTATGTGTTTTTTGTTTTTTGTTTTGCTGCTCATACATTTATTGTTGGGTTTGATTATCATGGAACAGAAATTACTCCTCAAAATCTTGTTCCTATATTTTCTTCCAAGAACTGTATAGTTTCAGATGTAACATTTAGGTCTGGGATCCATTTTGAATGTGGTTGTGTTTATGGTACGAGGTATGGATATTGTTTAACTTTTCCACACATGGAAATCCAGCTTTGTCAGCACCATTTGTTGAAGGGACTGTTTCTTCGCAATTAAATGGACTTGGCATCAGTGTCAAGAAGCAATTGACCGAGATGTTTAGATTTATTTCCTGGGCTTTGGATTATCCTCCCTTGGTCTCCGTCTGTCTCAAGCTCGTATCAGATTCTTTTGATTATTGTGCAATGTCATGTGTTTTGAAGTTGGCAAGTGTGAGGCCTTCTACTTTCTTGTTCTTTTCAAAATATTTGGCTATTTGGAGTCTCTTGTCTTTACATATAAAGCTGAGAATTATGGCTAGACCAGAGGATGTACACTGGTACAGATAAGAACT